TTGTCTGTAACCTTAAGGTTTAGTTAACCCTAATCTAAATCGTCCTAAGATTTCCACGGTGGCATTCGCCCCTCAGAAGGGCTGGCAGCGCTTAGGGGCGTCCCCCAGCTGCATGAAGCACTACTGCCATCTTGTGGCTGAGATGCAACATGACACCCATTTGTTTGACAAGGTTCCGGCTGTCACCAACAGAGGGCAGGGATTATGGGCCCAGGCTGGAGACTGAAACCCTTGTTTATAATTTTGACTTTTTGGTATTTAGCTGGTGTGGCAGGGTGAGGTTTGAAACTGAATATTGAGAAGGACCATATAATACAACTTCTGTTTTCCTGTTACAAAAGCAGTGGAAATTCACAACTACTGCACAGCCTCCTAGGAGGAGAAAACAAACCACTGGATCTATTAGATTGAATTCCCAATTCTTTTCTTTATCCCCTCCCACCCTATGGCTGTACTGATGGCCAACAGGCAGGCCCCTGGGGTGAGAGGATGATGACAGTCAGGATTTCCAAAGCTTAGCTAATACCCAATCTGCCACTGGGTTTCCGGTTACATTTAGAATTGAGAGGTCATCTAACTCAAACTGCTTGAACACTTATGAGGTTGTTTAACTCCCTAATAGCTAGGATTTTTGTGGCCTAGTGTCCTAGGAAAGTAGGGTTTACAGAGCTCAGAGTCACATTCGGTATGTGGTTCTTAGGATTATAGCAGTCTCTATCTACATCTAACTCTTCATGACACGACATTTGGACTTTCCTGACTGACACGTGTCAACAACATTCCACTTTCCCAACTTCTGGTAAAAACACCAAGCAAATGCAAGCTCAGAGCTGTGCTTGGAGCAAGATCAAAGGCTCTGGGAACATGTATCTTTTCTACCATTATCTACAGGCAAGCTTAAAGGGCACTTCTTTTTTCTCTAGAATATAGAGGTCCTGCCTGGGAATTTGTTGAAATATTTCAAAGTGTCAAGGGTCCTTCTTTGCAGAGAGAGAACCCCCGCTCCCGCCGCCCAGCCCCACCTGGACACCCCTGCACTTGTTACACAGCAGGACCCATGGCTCTGTGGCTGGCTCACAGGGTCTCAGCCAGTTCCTCTTCCTTGAATTCCCATGTCTCCTTCCTATACACCTCTTTGGTTTTCTACACTAGACTCAGCTCAGGCTTCTAAAACTGACTCTGCATTTTAATAAGGTCTTGAGTGAAGTGTTGCAGCATTGAAGTTTGACAGGTTTGGGCTGAACTCAAGTAGGAGGAATACAGGGGTGAGCAGCAGGTGGGTTCTTCTGTAGAGAACAATGGAGGAAAATCTACATTCTCTTCAGAACAGAAACAAAAGACATTGAGAAAAGAGGGTCTGTGGGTGGGTGTGGGGGGGGACAAGGCACTTGGGAGATGATTAAATTGGAGGAGAGGGAGGGAGTAGAGGGAAACAGAGAATAGTCTCTTAAAACCCATTTCTTTTCAATCTTAGTGATTTACCACACATTTTTGAAAAATTCAGTTGTAACAATGGTGTACAAAAGGGAAGTGGAACAATGACAGACAACTGTGTTTTGAGTTTGAGATAGAGTCTGTCACTGTTGAATTACCGCTGTCACAATGGGGCAGGAACATGAATTGTTAGGAGTAGGTTGCTCTTTCCCCTCCTCTTTGCTCTAGACATGCACACTTTTCTTAATAAAATCAGAGGGTTTATATATATTTACAAAAGAGAAAACTGGAAGACTTGGAAGTCAAACTGTAGTGCTTTCAGAGGAACAGGAGATGTGTGGGGGAAAACGCTCCAATAGACCAACTGCTAGAAATGGTAGTGGTGGATTAATAGAAATTAAATCAATTTGTAATTTGAAATACAAGAAAAAATCTAATAGGAACTTATTGGATCTTGCAATCACAGAATACTTCCAATTGGTTATTCTTGCAATTTTCATGATCCAAATGCTTACATTTCCAGTGCAGAAACCGCCACAATGGCATATATAGTTTGAGAAGTCAAAATAGTATCTTTGATATGATGATACAATTAGATAAAGGAAAAGAAAATCAAAACAAAAGTTTATTTATTTTGTTGTTATTCATGGTGTTGTTGGAACACAAGAAAATAGGATGTGAGAAAAGTTTTGCCTAGATGCAACAAAAATACGTAGAACTTACTTTGTTTCTCAACTTAATATGGCTATGGACCCCTTGAGCAGTGTAATATAACTATACTGGAAGTAGGAGATGAAATTCTTATCTTTATCAAAAGGAGATTAAGTTTTAATAGACTGAGAAAGTGATCTGGGAGAACATATAATTCCCAGGTTTCCTGTCATTCATTCATTCTACCATCTTGATTTTTATACATAGTCTATGTGCTGGGCACTGAGGTATGAGTTCATGCTGCTGATTTTTCCTCAAGTCATTTCAAAAGGATTTACAAAGAGTTTCATCTCGGCATCTCATTGTAATACTATTGCATAAAGCATATAAAGGAAGATGAAATACACTAGTCATGAGCTTCTCTTGTGGTTGATAGGAGAGGATAATTGTTGAGCAGTGCTCTAAGTAGCCCTAAAGGCATTATAATGGATTGTACTAACCCTATAACAGACTCAGGAAGAAATTCAGGAAGTTTTGTGACATTCGATAAGGGAAAATTGCTCCTTTCCTCCCCTAAACTCTGACTTAAATTGAACATTTCTTTTACTTGTCACTCGATAAAAATCACAAAAGCATAACAGTACCTTTGACCTTGCTGTCAAAATTAGATATTTTACTATATTACAGTTATTGCATATATCTTGAACTATCATTTATGTTCATCACGTCTTCAAAAATAAAGTGCCCATTGAAAGATGTGGTGTATATGTATTCGTATCTATACATACACCTATATATATATATACACACAGAAATATAAAATGTATTACTTACCTTAAACTTCAAAATAATGCTATGAAATTTGGATAATTGGATATATTTGGATAGTGACACCAGAGTATCTCTTTGGTGATTAAAAAAGACATCTCCCCACCCCCAAGCCTTTGTCCCTAGCTTTGAGTTAGAGTAACTTGAGTGAGATCAACTTATAATAAAGATGTGATTCTATGATGGCCAAAATAGTGATCATACTTGGTTGATATAAACTTAGGAAACATGAAGACTTATGTGTTTTGCCCTCTTCATTAGTGCCTGAGGGGACTCAGGATGGAAGTACAGGGTGTGGGATATAGAAGGTGTGGAGGGTTTGGGATGGTGCAAAGGACTGATGACTTCCGAGCTCTTCTGCTGAGGAAGGGCCTCTGGATTCTACTTTGGAAGCAAATAATTTAGATGGCACAAGAACTGATTCTGGGAGGACTGCAAAGCTGCATGGGGCGAGGATTCAAGTCCAACCCAGACAGGCAAATTTTTGTGACGGATGTATAATCCATCCTCTTTCTCCGAAAGACAAATTTAATTTAGAAACAAGGATAAGTCTGTGGTTCAGCAACTTTGTTTTATCTTCTTCATTCACTTTCTTCCTGAGAGCTGCATATGCTTATGAAGTTTGGTCACAGAAATGGTGAGACACAGAGACAAGTTAGAGGAAAAAAGCTATAGAAAGACAGCTCACAGGATAGGAAGGGCTACCTGCTTCCTGTACCTATTCTCTGCCCATCTCGCCTTCAAGCTAATAGTGGAATCACTCAGGCAGCATGCAGTGGGAGACCACGTGGCCAGAGCTCAAGGCTGGAGAATGGTTTAATTGGTTTTAAACTCTTGATCTAGCTCAATGGTTAGCACTCAGTGGAGGATACAGAATGCTTAGCGGCAGGTTCCAGATTCCAGATTCCCACTCAGCTCTCTCACTAACCAGCACTGTGACTTTGGACCTGTTACAGGGGTCATATGAGGACTTAATTCACAGGGCTGTTTGAGAGCTAAATGTGCTCCTGTAGGCCTCTGTACACAAACCAAATATATGTCATTTTGATGGTTTCTTTTATAGTGATTTCTCTTACTAGACAGGGAGTTCCTTTAAGTTGGCTATTGGACATTTTGCTTTTTGTTATTTTTATTTTGTTTGTTTTTACATCCCAAGTACTTAGTATCTAGTACCCAACAGAGCTCTTAATAATGCTTACTACATATTATCAAATCAGGTATCTCAGTTTGGGGTTTCCAGAGCATATGTTGTCAGAATCAGCAAGAAACCACAAACACTTAGCAAATTGGGTTTCCTCCAGTTACATCCTTTCTATCACTGCAGGCCCTGAAGTCAGGCTTACCTGATTTGAAGAGAGGGTTCTGCTGTTGTGTATGTCTAGATAAACAATTCTAAAGAATTATTCAGTTAATGCCCATTTCAGGCTTGAAAGGCTCCCCCCCCCCCTTCTGTGATATTTTACTGCATGTGCATGAAACAACTGACTGCTGTAAAAGGGACTGATTTGTTATTTTTGCCTTCTATTGACCCAGACTAAAGAAATTTTTTGTCTTGTAGATCATTTAGATAACTGGTTGATTCAATAGGGTAAAATTCAGTCAACTGCTTTAAGAGCTATAAGCAACTGATGTAGTGATGTCTTAAATTTGATGTTGATTTAGCTGTTTATTTTGCTCTAAAAGTTAGTCAATGTGGTCAATAAAAAGCTAAGTGTCTTCAAGGTGGAGGCTAGCTCTCCACACCTATTCCACTACGATGCAACTGAAATTTGTGCTCACCAAGTATTTTGTGGGGGTGATTATGAAATATAGCTATATACTTTTGAAGAAGGAAAGAACCCACAAAATTACATTTAGCAAGCTTAAACTTTCTGCCTTAACATTACTTTAAAAACTTATTTTCTAGAGAAGATGATATAATTTATTGCTTGTTTGTTAAGTTGGCCTACTTTAAGGCAAGATTCAACAAATCAGTCAGGGGTCTGGAAGGAAAAGATGGAAAGAAGAATGAGATGCTTCAATGAGAGGCGCAGGAATTACTATTTTGATATGTCACAACTTGAAATGATTTCGCAATTGGACAGTAGAGTTGTCTCCTTTATTAGCACACTCAAACAGCAGCAGAAAAACAACCTTCCATTTGATTCTTACTGAGATTTATTGTTTTTAATAATGCCACTTTTCAGAAGTATAGTCATGTGCTCACTTAGACAGGCTGACAAAGTGAAAACTTGTATGTGATGCAAAGTACCCTTTGGGCCATAGATTAAGACATATATAGTGCAGTGACAAGTCAAGTCAAATGCCCGCAGCAGACAAGTCCCAGCCTCCCCTCCCCACAATCCAGCTCCCATTTTGCACCACAGAACCCACAATGGATATCTGGCAAAACATAGAACACAGATGGCTACTGACTGACATGAAAAGTAAATTTTATTAAACATGTTTACATACATGAGTTGGAAGTTCATTTAAAAGCACAGGGGAGTGTTAAGACAAGTGGTCAAAATAGAAAGATACTACCCAATTATAATTAGTTGATCGTTGGCCACTAAGACAGAACGGAATCTAGTAGAAGTGCACCAATGCTTCAGTTCTTCCTGCTCAGCAAGGCGAGCAGTGGTCAATCTGTGCCCTGCGGAATGATGGGCAGATAATTCTGGCATGTGTAAATAATAATAAATAATTCACTTGGTGCAGGCAGTATGTCTATGGATTAAAACCTAGTGTGTACACAGTGTCTACGTGTGACAGCCCCACAGTAGGGATCTACACCAAAATATTTATTAGAAGGAATTTGGTCCGTACTACATCACGTTTTCCAGAGGGTAAAAAATAAAGTCCATCTATAGACATTTCACCCCAGACTCACAGACTGAGTCTAGCTAAACCTGCAAAATGTCTATAACAAAAATGGATGGCTTAGATTTCTTGGTTATTTCAGTATAATAATTAACGAGCAAACTGTACAAGTACATGCAACATACAAGCTGGCCTATGTGGAACTAACATACATTATTAAATAACCTTTTGTTTCTTTTCTTTTTCAATTTTATTTTATTTTTTTTACAAAACGTGCATGCAGCTTTGAACAGTTCCCAGTCATGCTGCTCTATTTGCGTAATCACAAAAGTTGAATGACTCATAAAAGGAGGGAGGACATATCGATGCACCTGCAGAGTCTGCAGTTTGGAGCACATTTACAGGATGTCACAAGGGAAATTCAAGGCCAAGAAAAAAATCAAATGAAGAGAATGCAAATTGAAATTTGACTTTGTTTATTGCCCCCCTCCCAGAAAAGTAAGATACTTTGCATTAAAAAAATCAAGCTTTGTGCTTGCATCAATCTCAAAGAAATGTAAACTAAAATTTGATAAAAACATTAGTCTAGTGCAGAATATTTCAACTGGAATTCCCAGTGGAATATTGAACAGCTCATACCATGCTCTTTCCAGGGCAGATGGGTGTTTCTACACTGAGACATGGCCGAGAAGCCTGGGCATAGCTGAAAGTGTCTTAGGCTCAAATCCATTTCTAGTCACCATTTTGGGAAGTCAAAAGTATGGTTTATACACATGAGCATATACTTTTTTTTGGGTATCAGGAAGAAAAGGCATTACAAGGAGTGTTTCCAAAGTACAATTATGCGGTTAGTTTTAGTTCCCAGCATTAGTTGCAGATTGACTTCTTTAAAAGTCTTCCATGCAAAACAATGGAAAACATAAATGAAATTTCTAGAATGCAAACAGATATGCTCTTCATTGAAAAAAGTGATTCTGTGATTGTTTTGGAATTTAATTTTTTGTCTTCTGGGTTTCCAAACATAAGACTTTAAAGAATTATAACGTGAAAGCCTGTGGAACCCTTTGTTGGCCTCATCTTGTCCAGCTGAACACGTAGGGAAGATGCTACAGAGACTGCTTCAGCCCTTTTTTGGTGCTTTTGGAAAAAGAAAGGAAGGGTCTCTGTAAGCATCATGAGGCCTGTCATGTCACAGCCCAAAACAAGTGGGAATAACAAATACAGTGAAAACCAGAACACAACAAAAAACTTCAGAAACAAAACCCAACAAACAGCACACATATAAACAAAACAAAGAACAAAACTCAAAACATCAGGGAAATAACACTGATGTGGTCCGTGCAGAAATGTGTAAATACAACTTTTCACAGAGTGAGAGCTTCCAGTTTGTTCAATTTGGGGTGTGTGTGGATTTGAAGTTTCCTCTTTTTCTACTTGTTAGAAGCATCAGTGACTCTCACTAGCACATCGACTCTTAACTGATTTGATAGACTGCCTTGTTCTGTCATATGAAGCCAGGTTTTAACAATTGGGACATAGTATTGAAAAACTACTACAGGCAAAACACAAGTTGATTGTCTCCAACAATGCTTTTGATCATGAGATATCTGGTTCAGATTATTATCCTGAATGGTAGAGTTTTATTGGAATGACTCTGATATGAGTTCACTATGATCGAATGCAGGGAGGACCAGTTGAACTTTCCAGAGATGATTGGGAAGCCCGGCGGGTTAGGGGTGTGAGTGTGGGGTCCACCAGTGAAGACGGTGGGAACAATTTGTACCATCCGATTACCATACTCGACAGATCAAGTTCTTCTAACAAGATTTGAGCCACGCCCATAAAGCATTTATGGTCCATTCTGCCATAGTCGCCCCAGACAATCACCTGCAGAAACAGAAATGCAATACAACTTGATCTTGCTCTTTCACATTTGAAGAGTTGTGAGCAGCTACTCTGTAACAGTGGACCCATTAAGGAAGGAAAGGAAAGGAATATAACTAACACCAAGGAGAAGGAATAGGTAAGAAGATTCTAACATTAAGGGTCCCAAAGAGATACCATGGTACTTTTTAGATTTGATGGAATGCAAGCAAATTATTCCTCTGTCAATGAGGGGTATAATCTATATGAATTATGCTAAACAAATAAATATATGTTTATTTATATATACATAGTCAACATCTTCTTTAGGAACTGTTTAATAAGCAATGTGCACAGAAATATACAAATTAAAATTTGCACAAGCCAGGAAGGTAAAATAAGCCAATGCAATATACAATGGAGAATGCATATGAAAGAGTACATACAAAGATTATTCATTAAATTTATTCTATATAAAACATGTTAGTGAAAGGGTAGATTAAAAAATAATTGTAAGCTGACACCTTCGGAGGATTTGTCTGACAATTCTGATTTGATCAGATGATTAATAAGTCAGTGAGCTCACCAACAAAGACCACAATCTGGGCCAACTCCTGTTAATTTCAGACAAGTGTTCCATCACACTTATTCCTAGGTTCTAATTCCAATCCTTAGTCATCTGTAAAGATTCTTGATTGACTTCATTCTCTTGATTTATACAGACAAGGGTGGTAGATCCTCTATTTTCAATTACTGAAAAGTTTTGCCAAATCACACAATCTCTGTGATCCTCAAACATAATCTTTACAATGATATTGATGGCACATGGTATATCACGTGATGTATGTTAGCACCTAACAATGCATCTGACATTCAACCAGTACTCCATATTTGCTGGTCCCTGCATGCTTTTCCTTTCTTTTCTTCCTCTTTGTATTCCATGTGTGGAAGAGTAATGCTCAATAAAACATTACTAGCATCATTTGACTATGTGTCTGTCTGTCTATCTATCTATCTGCCAATCATCTAGAATCTACTGAGGAGAGATGACATATGGGAAATTGAACAAAAGTAGGAAATTGAACAAAAGAATAGAGAGAGAAAATAAAATTTGGTTTTCACTAGATCCAGCAGATATTTTAACACTATGCATTATTTGTTTTGTAAATTAATAATTTGATTTCTTTTCTACTCTGGATATATACTATATTTCTCTTTACTGAACTTTATTGCCTTCATGTTTCCCTACATTTTCTCAATGTGTTCATATGGATAATGTAGATACCACAATGTAAAAAGTCAAGCTCTTACTGACCTGAAGAACTTTACCCTGTGGACTTTCGTCAAAAACCAGGGACTGTTGATACAAAGGATCAAGGGTTTTTCTTGCAATCCTTGTCTTCTTCTTGGCTATACAGGCCCCATTTTCCAAAAGATATACTTTGACATATGGAGCTGAACAAAGGTAATATTAACATTGAAAAAGTTAGTCCTTTAGGTTAAACTGACTTTATTAGAAAATGCCTTTTATTTAGAGAACTAGAATATTTACTGAAATCACTGAAAATTTCCAGTGTTCCATACATTCTATTTCTTAAAACCATAGTATCAATACTTAACCGCCATGTTCATTTCCCGTAAATATACATAAAGCCATAAATCATTATTTTTTACACTTGTAGATGTACAGAAAAAATAATTGACACAAACTAAGAAACAATTATAACTGGATTTTTCTTATTATAATACACTTTATAATACTTTTTGAATAAGCATGCAAGGAAATAAGCATTCAAGGAAAAATCAGATCCATTCTGACAGACTCAAAAAACATAGAAACACACACAGCATATAAAATTTAAATGCAGCAAAGGTTTGAGGTTTATGCTTATGCAATATTCTCTTGTGCAAGCTCAGTAACACCATTCCTTACCGGGTGTAGATTTGGAACCAGGTTTTTGTGTGAGGCTTCGTGCTCTAATAACTTCAACTTCTAATTGGCCCTTTTTATCTTCCATTCCAATCTGTATATCACCTGCAAGCATGTGGCAAAAAAAGATACATGTTCACAGTTACTTGTGAATAAATAAATAAGGCCTGCAGCAGACTACAAATAATGATCTAATGTGAGCCCTGACCACACTTTCCTTCCCCATCTCCAAATACGGTCTAAGAATGTTTCTCTTTAGTAACTCATTTTATGATGGTACATATTAGTTTACAAATCACTTAAAATGACAATGCCAAAGTATCTAAATGATTTTAGTAAGAATGTTTATGCTCTATGTCATCTAGTATATAATATTTCTTAATAAAAAAGTATAATTATCTGCATTTCCACTATGTAGAGAAAAACCCACTAATATTGTGGTGAATATTCTAACATTCATTCATCTATTTGGGGGCATTTGGTTTGTTTTAGATCTGAGCATACAGCAAAGGAAGGGGAGGGAGGAGGTCAAAACAGGAGAGGGAAGAACACAAGGAAATATGATGATGGTTCCCTGGTGATACGGTGGGAGCACTATGGGGACTCCAATGATGGAAGAAAAAAATTAATAAAAAAATTAAAAAATACATCCTAACACTCATAAATATGCTTGTAAAAATCTCCCTCATGCATTTGTGCTGTCTCTTTCTCTCTCTCTCTGCAATATACCTTCTTTTATTGACTCCATGGGCCAACAAATAGGTATGCTGTCATCTATTCAAAAATCAGATCCTTAAAACAAAACCAAAACGAGATCCTTGCATGGACATATAGGTAACTTATATTGCTGTTATTAAAATTGCTGTTATTGAAACACTGTAATGAAGTGTTTTATAAAGAATTTTTGCACACTTGGTCTATTATTACTTGAGCATGAGATCCCAGATTTTTAATTATTGGGTTTAATTTAATGCACACTTATGTATATTACCAACTATCATCCAAAATATTGTATCAATTGGTAATATCAGCAGTAGTATCTGTCTTCCCATTTCCACAACACACTGCTAGTAGCATTAGCAACATGTCTAGTTTTAGCTGATCTGATGGTTTAAAAGTTGTATTTGCACTTCCTGGATTATTTGGGAAGTGAAATAAATTTCTAAATATTTTCAATTCTTACTCCTCATGTCAGGTTCTATCAAGATGTTCTTTTTTTCCTGATTGATATGCTACTTTATCTTTGGAAATGTTAAACAGAATTATTTTTATTTTATATTGTTAGTTGAATTATCATTTTCTCAGTTTTGAATTCTCTTTATGTATAATCAGGTCAATTGACCAACCTTGTCATCCATTGTTTTATAATTTTGTTATAAACCTCTCAGTTCCTAGAGGTCTTTTGTATTTTTCTTTTATTCTGTTTATAAGGTTTTTTAAAAAGTCACAAACACGCATAGTTTAAAGGATCAAACTGTTCAATACAATGTGCTCTTGTATAAAAGATTCACATCCTTTTTTCTCAACTTCTTGCCTTCTAAAGGGTATTGCTTTCAAAATTTTCAGTATTTTGATCTGATTTATTTTTTGCTTTCTGGCACTTGCCTCCCTATTTCCAAACACTATAATTATAAATTATTTTCTTATTTTTTGTTTTAGTTATTATTCTTGACTTCTACTTTCAATCTCTCTCACTGTATTTCCCCAAACACTTGACATTTTCTGTTACTCATTCCTATCAATATTAATATTATAATTATGTAATAATTATAGTGGAGTGAATATTTTTACTTCTCATTTCTTGCACAGCTCTTCTTTTTTACTAAGCCTAATTAGTGTCTTTTTAAAAAACATCTACTTATATTTTTACAATTGAGTATAAAATATTTTTTTAAGTTGTGGAGTAGAGAGATAATTTTATTAATTTTTTTCACATAGTTGAACATTTGTACCAACATTCTTTATTGTATAATTGACCTATTTTCCTCCTGTGAAATAATACCCTTACCCTATACTTGGATATATTGTAGACTCTGTCTTGACAGGGATTTCTGGTAATTCAGATTCATGACAAGCTTTATTCATTTTGAGAAATGTCTCAACTGAGAAAAATGAATTAGAAATTAAAATAGTCATTTGAAACCAGCAGCAAACTAGCTAAAATCTTGCTTCTCACTTGTATTAATACTATGCTGCTTTAAATGACCGTGTCAACCTGAAACATTAATTTTCCTAGGATAAAATGATTCTTACCCATTGCAGGGGTGGCAAGCGTCTGTCGGCCAACAAGTTGGGCTGGTCCCAGTCCATCAAGAAAATCACTGAATTGACTGTCTGCTCCTAGTCGCACTCCAGGGAATATTAGGCTGTTAGCAAAAGGGCCAAATCAGAACATTAGATCTCCTAATATTCTTTTCACTAATTTTCATCTGATTGTTTTGCTCATGAACCATAACCAATGCTTAGATAATTGGTTTCCTTATTCTTTGCATTGCCTCTGTACAAAGCATATGATCCAAAGCACTGATTGGGGAAAGGTCTGAACTTTTTTTTCCCAGTGGAAATTATACCCCCCATATCCTCCCATAACTTTTAAATTGGATTCCAACACTATATATGACTCAGAACTATAGGTTAACACCACTTCAGAAGTATGTTACCACAAAACACCCACCATCAAGGCATCTATGATCTTTAACACTCTATGATCTGTCTATTCCGGAAGGCTTAGTTACACTTTTTAATATACTAAGTTTTCTGGATTCTTTCAAGTATAACCCCTAATTAATATATCATATCACTGACATACAAAATATAAGATGCAAGTTTTTATATAATGAACTTTACATAAATAATTGTCCCTGAACATAAAGAAGCATTTATGCTAAATTTAAAAAAAATGGTCACTAATATACTGAATAAATAACCTAACTTTTCCATTTATAAATGAAAATGTTTAATTTTGTCATTTTTAAAATTAACTTATTTATTTATACAAGCACTGGGTACAGTGAGAAGCACGGGAGGGTGAGAGAATTCACCAGAGCCAGAAACAGAACAGACAGACTGACGAAATACACTGCTGAGAGGAGCAGCGGGCGGCAGGAGAGGTCTGTGAGCCATGTGGGACCCTCACCCAGTGGCTGGGGATTGAACCGGTGCTGCAGAGGCTGTGGGCCGCTTCGCAACCCAGCGCTCAACCGCTGCGCCACCGGGGAGGCCCAATTTAGTAATTTTTGAGTGAATTAAATTATTTTTAAAAAAATGGTCACTAATATCCTGAATAAATATAATAACCTAACTTTTCCATTTATAAATCAAAATGTTTAATTTAGTCATTTTTGAATGAATTAAATTATTATTTTATTTGAGATTTTAGTTAGTTCAAATGGAAATGAATAGGTTAACAGGTCTTTTCCTACCTGAAATTCCTAAGCCAGCAGCTTCATCAGAGCAGTGTCTGTGCTCCTGTGCCTTGTTTGTGTATCCTGGGTACCAACAGTCATGTTTGTTATGTTATGTAGTTTGTGTACTCTTTGCACCTTTTAAGTCAATTTTCTGTTACTTTCAATGTTCTTTCATACATATTTTTTCTTTACAACCAAGGGATTTAGGGTACATGTTTTTATCCCATACAGAGACTATGAAAATAAATCTGTGAGAAGTTAAATGGCTTATCCACAGTGGAGACAAACATTATTTGATTTGTTAGTTTCCATATTGGAGAATAATGTCTCCAATGTTCTATTTGCACACTAATTTATAATACTTCATTATATCCTGGTATTTTGTCAGCAAGTTTATCTTCATAACTTTCATGACTGCTGATTTTTGTTCTCATCTGTATTTTGCTGGGAGCAATGCATAGCAATAATTTGATCAAATAAATGGACACAGTAGCCTCAGGAATGTGAAGGCTTATGAACATTCACATGGTATAATTTTGTATCATTTCTGAACAAAATATGAAAATGCTAATAAAAGAAATTATCAATATTAGATTGGTAAATGTAAGATCTGAGTGGGAGTAATCAAATAATTATGAAAAAATTGTTCATGGTAAATCCTCAAGTAACTCACTACAGATTAATGATCACTTATTTGCAAGATATATCACCTCATTAAAATTTTAGTTTTACCAGGGAAATTCTCAAGCACAGAAAAATACAGGTGCTGTGCAAGATCTATACAAAATGGTAAAAAACAAAACAAAACAAGAAAACAAAACAAATAGTGATTTTTTTTCCCCAAAATTAATTTCCTGAGGTAAAAATGAGTTTGTTTTGAAAGCAAGAGTATTTAAGTTGCTACTATGAGATTGTTAGCCTTTTAACAACTTAGAGTTCAGAATACATTGGTGAACAGGAAGAAAATGGAAATTATTATAGTTGCTCATTTCTAAATTTGAACTGAGATTTTTGTGACAAGATCAGACTATGAGTTTTCCTTTTGAAAGAATCCATTAATTGTGGCATATCTACACTAAATTTCCAACAAAGGACAATTCTGAGCTTTTCCAGATGATGGAAAAAGTTTAGGCATGTTATCCCCGCATTTCTTCATCCCTTTGAAAGGTCTGAGCTCACCACGTGCTTATCATAAGAGCTCAGGCTGTGTTAACATGGATTGAATAAATAAAACGGATTATATAAAGCAGCTGCATAACACAAATGGCTTAGCTTTTCACTAATGACCAGAGGTCCCTGCCTCGAAAGCTACACAGGTGTGCAGACACCACTTACTTTCCCTCAGAGCTGTAGCTGTTGATGCTGCCGTCAGTAGATTCCCGACTCGGTTGCCTGACCATCTTCCTCATTTCAGCTGCCATTCCTGTTTCTGTGCTTCTCTGTATGGTACTTTTTAACTTCTTATGGCCCGACTCTGATAGGAGAGAGTTAAAAGAACTACTAAGTTATATTTAGACAGTCTCCCCAATTACTGATTGACTCTGCAAATACAATGGTTAATAAGCACATAATTAAAATTTTAACCAGGAAGAGTATCTGTGTGAATAATCTCTTAAATCTTTTTGCTGATTGTGTGCTTTAGCCCACGGCAGCTGTGGAAGGTGGGCCCTGTCATAGTTCGCAGGGAACCAAAATGAACTCTTATTACTGCTGCTGACATTGTCAACTTCGTTGGAAAAAACATCATGTGGAAAGATAAACCGTCTCATAGGTTTCTCTTAAATTGTAATTCTCCAAACGTGCATGGACAGACCTAGAAAGATGGATCATATTCTTTAAAGGAGAGGATGCACTGGGAACCAAGAATGAAAAATAGCACAGTTTTGCTACTGCCATGGATCAGCAATCTTCATAAAGAGAAACAGTAATACTTCATTCAAGGATTTTTGCAACACTTTAATACTCATGATGTCATTTGATATGTCATATAGGTTACCCATGTAGGTAGAACAGGTATTATCTTAATTTCAAATTTTTATCACTGTCTCATGGCCTTTTGGCTCAGCTGCATGACTTCTGAGTGGCAATCTTGGGGTGTCTGGATTTGCACTGTGACTTATACACCCTGATCATTTTCTTGGTAAACTTTTTTTTTTCTTGGTAAACTCTTAAGATCAATTTTCACGAGCCCCTATGACATCACAAACCAACATTCTAGTCATAGTAGAGAGACAAAATTCTAAAATATTTGTTTGATTGCAAGACTGAGCAGTCTCAGAGATTAGACAAGCCATTAAAACTTTTAATGTCTGCCATGCTTTTTATACCTACATATTCTGTTTGCATTTTTGGTTTTCTATTTTTCATACTGTATCACTTTAAAACCCATTCATAATACATGAGCAATGACCTACGCACATAACTACATACATACATTACATGTCTATTTCTATACGACACGTGCATGAAATATATATATTTTTTCAATCCCCATTAAACTTCTGCGAATCAAGTGCCCCAAAACACTCCTAGATAAATCATATGGAAGACAACACTTGGTCCCTGTCATTTTTGGTCACTGCAACCCTTTTGCAAATTGTCTAATGAAAGATATAACTCATTGTGCTATATAGACTCAAAGTTGAATGTTCTCTACCTAAGAGCTATGGGGAATTCTTTAAAAATAAAGAAATCTGAATGTTACTCCTTTGCTCAAGATCTTTGAGCTTTATTATTAAAGTTATAAGAAAAGCCAAAATTGTCATCATGGCCCATAAAATATCATGATCTCATCCTTCACCCCGTCTCACATGATCACTGCTCTCCAGTCACACTTGCAAGGGAAAGGCCTCCTTGTATTTTTTGAACACTAAGTATGATGCTTAAGGCCTTTCTTCTTACTCTCTGTCCCTTCTGATTTTCTTGTCTCACTCCCTCACTTTATTCAGGTCTCTGCTTTAAAGTTAATACCTCATTTTCTCTAGTCCTTATTACTCTTTAGCTCCTTGCTATGCAGTATTTTGCCTCATAGCACTGGTCCACATGCCATTAGACTTCAGTTGTTTTTCCAGTTAGAGTTTAATTTACACAAGGAGAGGAATGTTGTAAATTTTCCACTTGGTTATCCCTAATATCTACAGTGGTGTTATAAACTTGATAATGGGATTGCACCATGCATAGGAAGGTGCAATTTTCTCACACCATTTAATGTTACATAATACAAACACAGCTACTTTCTTTGTAATGAGAACACTGTTACATTGCATGGTTATGTAGTAACATAATTAAATGTCTTATTGATGAATATATGGTATATGGTGCTTCCTTGGTGGCTCAAGGGGTTGAGTGCAGCGCTGTGAAGCTGTCTGCACCCTCTGCGGCGTGAGTTCGATCCCTGGCCAGGGAGATGCCCACAAGCAGCAGCAGACCTCTCTTGACTTGCCCGATGCTCCCCTTAGCAGTGTACTTTGGTCTATCTGCCTGTTCTGTTCCCCACTCTGTCTCTGGTGAATCCTCTCACCTCCTACATCTCTTTATTTATTCATAAATAAATATTTTTTTAAAAAAAGAATATTTGGTATCTTTCCAGTTGTGACAGGAGAGTTTTTATAGGATAACTTTCTAGAAGTTAAAATGCTGGATAAAGTGTAGGAATTCATTTAATATTAATAGCTATCTCTAGGTTGTCTTAGAAATATTGTAGCAATTTACAGTGCTACCAACTTTCATATGGAGATACCCATTTTCCCACCTAAGGCTTAAAGATTCTCAATTTTTCCACTTGTTGGTCCCTGTCTTGCTCACTTGACTTCTCATTGTGGAATATGTACACTCACTGAGGGCAGGGACTTCATTTAGGACCATTCTGAGTGTTATTTAGTTCTGTTTTGTTATTTATTTATTATATATCGTACCTCCTTCTTAGATGTAGTTTCTTTATGAAGTCACCATGGTAGAGCATCATTTCATTCTTGCATATAATACTGACCAGGTTCCATTGGAAGGGTAGGGGCAGAGCCCGAGAGTCTATTACCAGAGTATATTGAGCCAAGTTTATTCTGACAAACATTTACCCAATGCAACATGAGGCAATAAAGCCAGGATGGAATATCAAATTCTTGTTAAAAATAATGAAGATAGTAGCTAGAAAAATGAGAGCAAACTTTAAACTTAAATGAAGAGGTGATGCTGTAAACTAGAGGAGAAAGAGTTAAGAGTAGCAGCATTAAAGAGGTTCAAGTTAGAATACTTTTTCAAGTTTTTCATCCATCCATCCATCCATCCATCCATCCATCCATCCATCCATCCATCCATGCAACAAATATTTACTGAGCACCTACTGTGTGTCAACACTGTTCTCAGTGTGGGGGATGCACTGATGAATGACACACTTCCTACTATTACAAAGCTTATATTTTAGTATATGTATATACAAGAAAGACAGTGAATAAACCAATAAATATAAAATCTGTTGGTAATAAGTCTATGGAAAAAAGTTAGACAGGATAAGGGGGTTAGAGAGTGACAGGGATAGAGCGACAATGTTTTTAAAAATAAGTCAGCGTCTCATTCAATAGCATCATGAAGTAAGGACACAAGTCATGAAGGAACAGGGAAATAACACCCACGATGGAATTGTGGTCCTGGTCCTGGTGATTGTGGTGAAAAAGGTGTGACTAATGGCAGTCAGGAGGGGCCCATGACTTGTCAGTAGCACTCAGGTGCTCAGGATTCCTGTCCACTCTTCTCAATGCTAAGACAGCAGATCGCACGCCTGGAAGTCCAGGTGATGGTGAACCACGGGCTGCTAAGACCTATTTCTCTCGCATTTCTTAACAAGCTTCCCATGGTTGTCATTCATTACATATTTGTTCATTGAGTGAAAATTAAAAAAAAATTAAAAGTTAATAGTTTTTAAAAGGGGTATACATAAGATATACACAATGTCCCTGAATTTTTACAGAAGTTTTGAATCTTAGTAGTTTCCAAAGTATAAAGGCAACCCCATTTTGAAAAACATCATTTGGGCCTCCCTGGTGGCACAGCGGTTGAGCGCTGGGTTGTGAAGCTGTCCGCAGCCTCTGTAGCGCAGGTTCGATCCCCGACTGCCGGTGAGGGTTCCACATGGCGCGCAGAACTCTTCTGCCGCCTGCTGCTCCCCTCAGCAGTGTATTTCGTCGGTCTGCCTGTTCTGTTCTCCGCTCTGGCTCTGGTGAATTCTCTCACCCTCCCACGCTTCTGACTGTACCCAGTGTTTGTCTAAATAAATAAATAAATCTTTAAAAAAAAAAAGAAAAACATCATTTGAGAGCTTTGTCATTGAAGTTTTTTTGTACCTACTCGATGACGTCAATTTGAAATTTACAGTTTTAATTTTAAGTTTTTGTTTTAGTCCTTCTGAAATGGCAAACATGGACTGATACCCTGTTTTATTCTAAGCTGTTGTCTTATTCATGTTAATAAGTATTCAATGTAAAGAGCCTAAACAATTTTGAAAAGGCTCTAGTAAAAGCTGAATGAAGAGTTCCAACTACAAAGTTGTCTTATTTTAATTCATAATATTATAATAATTAATATTAATAACTAATATCTGAAATCAAGATTTAGAAGGAACATTGTTTTATCGTTGTGGAAAATACAAATTTGAAGAAGTATAATTCATACAACAAATACCAATTCAACACTTACACTGGGTCTAGCATTTTCTAGATGCTATCGATAGAGCGATGAACACAACAGACAAAAACGCTGCCCAAACTTCATGCGTACATTCTAGTGATGACAATGACTTGCTCAGCATCACACTAGCAGCTGACCGGATTAGAAACCTGGTTTTCTGACTCTTATTTGTGATCATTCCATTATACTACGGTTTAGCAAAATGCAAAGTCTGATCTTATTCATTTTACAAATAGAATAGTGTACTAATGCAGATATTTTCATGTATACAGTGTCATATGGGCTTACAAGTTCTTTTGAAAAACATTAAAAAAAACCACATAAATTAAACCAAAATAATCCCTAGATATCTGACTGCAGAACTAAGGCTAATGGAGGGGGAGGGCTGCGTGAGAACAAAGGAATGAGAGCATGGATGGTGGGAGTGGGGTGGTAAATAAATCTGAGGAGGTGTGAACATATTTCCCCAAATCACAGCCAGTGAACCAATGCTACCACAAATGAAAATAAATAAAAACACATAATAGTCTATATATGTACAAATGCATAAACAATCGGTATTTCTCTCTCTATATATACTGTAATTATAGCATACATGTTCCATGCATATAATATTTTAATATAATGCATTAAATAACTAAGTATTAGAAAATACCATGTTTAGTCAGAATACCACTTCTGAATTATTTATATCTATTGATGAAAAAATAATAAAGTCATAAAGTTTACTATCAAATTATGAATTGAAACCCGTGATCTGAAGTCTGTCCCAAGTATTCTTTGAAGAACAAAAGG